ACAATTCGAAAAACGAAGTGAAGTTGTAATGGGACAATGAATAGCGGGGAACGGAAGAGAAATTATTGCTGCGAATGCCAGGATCTACAACTTGGATGGTGAAGTTGTCATAATAGATTGTCTGCACTTAGTACTTCCCCGAATACAAGCGCAATACGGTGAGGTTGTTCATGCAAGAGAGGTCGTTATACCATGGCCGGTTTGTTGGCGTGTGCGTGAGTTCAGGAAAGAGATTTCCTAATTAGTGTAGTTGACTAATTCTTGTACAATTAGGACTTTGTTTCCTAGTTTATTTTGTTTCCTTGTTAAACCTGTAAAACCCTATGTAAACATATAAATAGCTCCTTGTGGAGATGAATAGAATTGAATCAGTTTTACCTAAACATATATTTCTACTTTGCTCCGTTTCTTTTATTTGGACCATTGGTTAGCTGAAAAGGATAAATTATACTGTGGACGCCACCGCGGGAAGACGAGATGCACTTTCCATTGCTGTTGTTGTGCTTAGCTACAGTAGATTCGTAGATTAATTGAGAAACAAGAAAATTGCTATTACGAGAGATTTTAAGACACTCCTGCAATTCACTCGCTTTGATGAAGCAGCTGCAGCATTTGTATTGCTGCCCTTTGCATTTTGTGTGGTGCTTTATTGTCACTACTTGTTGGTCTCGAGCATTTGCGGGTCATTTTTTTCATTTTGCATATTGCTAATGACTTTCTTCCATGTGATCATTGGTGCAAAGGCCAATTCCATGCTTAGAGAATTGAAGTGGGGGACAACGGATGTGGCTCAATATTATTTTTCAATCATAAATGACATTTAAATACAGTATTTAAATTTTATTTCTACAAAAAAAATAAAGGGTCATGCTAGGGAGACATCTTTGAGACAAATTTTGTACCATCTCTCTAATAGAGGTGGAGCCCACCAATACCATGGGTCCCACCTCTATTGGAGAGATTGTACACAAGTTTCTCTAAAGATGGAAGGAAAACTCTCATGTAATGGGATAACACTTTTTGCTATCCCCAACCAATAATGCAATGACACTTATGATAACTTTTTCACATGTCATTATGTTGTTGGTTAGGGATAGTAAAACAATGCTATCCCAGTTACATGTAAATTTTGTGGCCAAAGGTTGTCTCCTTAACATTTTCCCAACAGAAAAAAAATGTCAATATATGAGATATGACAGAGTACAAAATAAAAACGAGGGTGATGCTTGTGATGGCAAAGGAGCAAAACCACATAAGTATTTGTTCAAATTAAAAACGTAGTTTTAATATATGCAACTTGAACCCATATATTTACCTTATTAGCTTAAATAATAATAAAACTGAAATTAAAGTTGAAACTCTAGTTGAGTCCTACTCATCACCTAGCTGACAGAGTACTACATGTTAGCTCTGTGTTAGAACACATTGGATTCGAATTACCATGAAGATTGTCTCTGGGCATCTCTTGTTGTGGACATAAAAGAAGCTTGGGAGGGAGTTGCAAGCATTCAACCTCTCCCTCAAGCATCTCTATAACTTTGTTCATCGAAGGACGATCGCTTGGCTTCAATTGTATACACCATAAAGCAGTTATAATCATCTTTTTTATTATATTCTTTTCCTCTTCTGTAGCATCATCCATCTCAAACTCTTTGCCCATGCAAAATTGCTCTGAGACCCAAAGAGGAAAATAAATTTGGCTTGAATGCTCTATGGATGCGTTGAAATTCTTCCTTCTACTTGCCATTTCCATCAACAACATTCCAAAACTATAGACATTAGCTTTGTATGAGACACCTCCAATATTTTTGTAAAACAACTCAGGAGCCATGTATCCCAATGTTCCTCTTGCTGCCGTCAAAGAGACGATGGTATTACCTACCGGATATAGCTTTGCAAGCCCAAAGTCAGAAATCTTTGGGATGAAATTCTCATCAAGAAGAATATTGTGAGGCTTGATGTCAAAATGTAGAATTTGCATGTCACAACCTTGATGTAGATATTCGATCCCTTGAGCCACTCCAAGAGAAATCTCATACATTTTCCTGTAACTTAAGGGGTTGCTTCCTTCTTTGCAATAAATGTATTTATCAAGAGACCCATTAGGCATGAAGTTATAAATTAGGGCATGCTTTGATCCCTCAACACAATAACCAACAAGTTGAACCATATTAAAATGGTGAATCCTCCCAATAGTAGCTACCTCACTTATGAAATCTTGTCCATTAGCTTTAGGCTTCTCCAACATTTTAACTCCTACAAATCGACCACTGCGTAACTTTCCTGTAAATACAGAGCCATAACCTCCTTCACCCAACTTCTCATTGAATCTATTGGTCATCTTTTTAATATCTGAGTAAGAGTACCTTATCGGAATGAGGTTGTTATCACTTTGCAGGAAGTCTTCTATGTTGCTATACATTGACAAATGCATTCTTCGCCGTTTGTAGATTAGAAGAGCAGCCAGAAATGGAACCCCAAATATAGATCTTATTGGGAAAAATGCTCCTGCAAAGCAACATCATAAAAAGAATCACAAATGACATGCTTTATTGGATATAATATATGTGCGTCATAACCCTTCCTCTTTGCTTCCATTTGTTTTTTCTACTGACAGATAGGAAACACAATTCTGCACTAAAGGAGTATGCAAACTCTTACCTAATGTAAGCCAACTGGAAATACCTGCAAGAGATAAAGAAAAAGTGACTAAAATCAAAGGCTTGACATAAGTTTGAAATTTCGAAGCACAGATATATATATACTCTGCCCTGCTTAATGGTTGACTAAGACTAATTAGCAGACTATATCATATGTGGAAGGTGAAGAAGAGAGAAGGGAATTTAAATTAGCCAGACAAAATACAAGTAATAAAACTTTTTAAAATTGTTAGAAATTTTATTTTCAAAGAATATTTGACGTATTTTCTCCATGTGTCTTTCTCTTTTTCAGCCCTGTATCGCCTTATTTCAAGTAAAACTAAACGAAACAAATGATTGAAAATGAGGAATAAATTGTAAATAAAAGTCATAGATGATAGATTTAAACAAGTGCCATTTGGAGAAATTCAGAAAGTTTGAGTAAGAAATTGTAGACTTGGAATATAACAAGTAATTCACAAACCTAATTTGTAGCTGGTCCTGCGGAAGCGGAAGTGAAGCTCAAAGCCATACCCCAGTGCGCTGTGTATGTCATGATAAGAAAAGTTTTTGTCCTTTTCGTACAAGAACGACTTACTCATCAAAGTTGTCCACTCTATTCTGCACCCGTCCTCCATATCTGATGCCGTTATATTCCCTTGCTTGACATAATTATACGTTCTCATCGCAGACGAGTTCACTGCTTTTGCACACTTGAAGAAAGTTATAGGTGTTGTACTTGATGCTAATCGAAGATCACTATAAGAAGTTAAGTTGTAAATGGAAAGCGAATAACGGGGGATGGAGGAGAAATCATTGTTGCGAATGCCAGGATCTACAACTCGGATTGTTAAGTTGTCGTAGTTGATTGCCTGCACATAGTAGTTTCCTGAATCTACTTCAAATACTGTGAGGTTGTTGTGACAAAAGAGGTTGTAATTCCAGTTTGTGCAGTTGCTTTGATTTGGATCGTTGGCTAGTCGAAAAGGGCTGGTTATGTTGTCGATGTTACCGCAGGCAGGCGAGATGCACTTACGATGGCTATGGCTCATCCTAAATGTAACAGTTACAAAGCCTAATTGAAGAAAAGCAACATAGGCAAACAAGGCACCAAGACCAAGCAATAATACAATTGCTATAACGAGAACACATATTCTGCAAGTGCTTGCCATGGAGAGAGAATTTTTAGACACACTTCTTCAATCCGCTAGCTAGCTTTGGTCAAGCAGCTGCTGCATATTTCTATTGCTTGTGAGTCAATTCAAAGTTGTTGCCATTTACATTTTGTGTGGTGCATATTGTCGCGACTTATAGATATATATATATGCCAAATCCATGGACCTGCTTTTGCATATTGCCAATGACTTTCTTCCAAGTGGGGACAACGGCTGTCGCTGAAGATTATTTATTTATTTAAAAAAATTGTAATTATTATGGAGTATATACTTGTACATACAGGAGTATATTATCCGCTTCATGTACTTGATACTGAATGATATGAAGTTTAGTAAATTACACTGTACAGAAAGAAAATTGGATTATTATGGAAGATGCCTTTTTGAATAATAGTAAGCAATTTTCATGAGGTGGAATTTAACCAAATTATGGAACGATATTGTCTCCACCTAGGTTTAATATTTTGGGTGAGTTTAAGCTCAATGGAAGTGTAAGGCTTTTAACTTAAAAAGTCTCGGTGCAATTAATTATGACCACTTATATTTTTGAACTATATTATTATTGTAGGGTTATTTACTGTAAACGTCCTTGAACTTTACTCCAAATTGCAATTGGGTTCGTGAACCTTTTTTTGAGGCAATTACATCCTTCAACGGAACAAACAGTTCCAATTAGGTCCTGCCATCCAACTCTGTCAATTTGCCCATCAAAATGAGGGGTAAAAGCGTCCTTTTGAGTTTGAAGACTCACCTCTTTTTTCTTTCGGTCTGAAACTTCCTTTCACAGTCCATCGGTGACGGCAATTCTGGTCCTCTAAATCGGAGTGCCTTCTTTGTAGGCGGAGAGCCTCCTGTTGGCGGCGTTGGCGCGGTCCATGTCCTCCAGCTGAGATCTGGTAGTCCTGGTTTTCTTCAGCACCGTCAAAATATCAACATTAATTTTGCTGCGCAAGGACTGCAAAGCCTCAGACTTGTAGGTCCTGCCATCCAACGCTGTCAATTTGCCCATCAAAATGAGGGGTAAAAGCGTCCTTTTGAGTTTGAAGACTCACCTCTTTTTTCTTTCGGTCTGAAACTTCCTTTCACAGTCCATCGGTGACGGCAATTCTGGTCCTCTAAATCGGGGTGCCTTCTTTGTAGGCGGAGAGCCTCCTGTTGGCGGCGTTGGCGCGGTCCATGTCCTCCAGCTGAGATCTGGTAGTCCTGGTTTTCTTTAGCACCGTCAAAATATCAACATTAATTTTGCTGCGCAAGGACTGCAAAGCCTCAGACTTGTGGAGGGACTTGCTCTCCTCGTTGGCTTGCTGTAGACGCCCCAGAATGTCCAGGACAGAACCCATCTCCTGCTTCACCTTCTCGGCCTCTTCCAAGAACAGACCAAGGTCCGGTGTGCATATGGGTCGTGGAAGATGACATCTCCACATTATTATCCCCAGCTTCAAGGTCCAAATCTTTCATAGCCTCTTTCTTTAGATCAAAATGTCAAACAAAGTAGGGTAAATATTCAGTTATGCTAAGATACGCTCATATTATTATTCTTCTCCAATATGGAGGTATTTATACAAGTACAAAGATGTGTTAACCCTAAATAAAATAGGAAATATATCTAAATTACAATAGGAAGTAAATCTCTATTACAATAGGACTAAATAATAATTGGTAAGTAACCAAAATTCTAATGAAATAAGAAACCAAAATCCTAACGAAGTAAGAACTCGCCAACACTCCCCCTCAAGTTGGGCAAAGATATTTCGCACACCCAACTTGACAAGCGAGTCACAGAACACCATACTTGAGAAGCACCAATTGTAGAGAAGGTCTTTTTGTCAACCACGAGTGAAATAAGTGACAAACTAAAGCAAAGTTCGCAGCGGAAACACAAGAGCAAACCCTAAAAAATAGGGCACATAGCAGAACACAGAAACCCTGTGAACACGGCAGTAGATAAGGCAGAACACAGACACCCTGTGAGCACGGTAGTAGGTAAGGCAGAACACAGAAACCTTGTGAGCACGGCAATAAATAAGGCAGAACACAGAAACCCTGTGAGCACGACAATAGATAAGGCAGAACACAGAAACCCTGTGAACACGGCAACAGCAAAGGCAACCGAACCCTAAAAATAGGGTAAGGCAAGGTAAGGCAAATAAAGGCTAAGCAAAGGCAAGGTGGCAAGGCATGGCAAAGAAAGCCCAGATAGGGCAACAAAACCCTAAAAATAGGGTAAGGCAAGGCATGGCAAGGCAAAGCCAAACCCTAACAAATAAGGTAAGGCAAGGCAAAGAAAGTCAAGAGTAAAGGCAAGGTCAACGGGCATGACCACAACGAAAACACACCAGAAAAGGCATGAGCAACAATACTGGCACCATAACAGGCAAGAACAATAATATTGGCACCAACAAGAGTAACAAGGCAGAGACATAACATGCATCATTAACAGCAATACAAGGCATTGGCACTAGCAACAACAGAGACAACTTCTCTTCACTCCCCCTGAAGAGAAGGGGTCGATGGAGCCATATGATCAATGGTACTTGAGAAACATGCACTAACTAACACTGAGATGTAGCAGAATCAGCCATGACAGATAGTTGGTTAAATTGCAGTGGAATAGATGAGCAGCGATGACAATAGCAAGGTAGGCAGCAATGACGGTAGCAAGGTAGACGGCGGTAGCGGCGGCATACTAGGATTATAAGCTAGATGTATAGTGCAATAGAAATAGGTAGTCTATAGGGTTAGGGTAGAGACAGATCAAAACACAGTAACATCATCGGCAATGACCATAACAACGGCAACATCAACGACAACAATAGCTGCAACGGTAACATCGACGACAGTAATAGAGGTAACGGCAACGACAACAGAAACAACAACAGTTCTTCCATATCAACTTTAGCTAATTCACACAGACAACTTCTCTTCACTCCTCCTCTCCCCCTAAAGAGAAGAGGTCGTCGGAGTCAAGAAATAAGCAACATCTTCATGGGAATATGTCAAGCTAATGGGGATACATCAATAAACATATCTTTTTCACTCCCCCTCCCAGAGCACTTAAATTGCAAGGAAAACGCAAACACATGTCACAAGAAAACTAGGCTCTGATACCATGTCAAACAAAGTAGGGTAAATATTCAGTTATGCTAAGATACGCTCATATTATTATTCTTCTCCAATATGGAGGTATTTATACAAGTATAAAGATGTGTTAACCCTAAATAAAATAGGAAATATATCTAAATTACAATAGGAAATAAATCTCTATTACAATAAGACTAAATAATAATTGGTAAGTAATCAAAATTCTAACTAAATAGGGAACCAAGACTCGCCAACACAACATAGTTGGTGAAGGATTTTGTCATCAGGTTGTTCATCTTTCTTGCCTTTTCTTTTCCTTCCCTTTCCTTTCCTTTTAAGTTTGTTGGAAACCAAAGATCCTGTATTTTTATATTGATTTGTACAAATTAAACAAAACTAGATTAATTTATACCCAGATTCAAAATTTGCCTTTTTAATTCATTTAACTAGCTACTAGGAAACTGTCGAAATGGATTAGTTTGAAGATAATTTTTGCCTACCTTTGCCCAATACAGAGTGGGAGGAGTAGCAAGCACTTCGGTTGCTTATTTTTGGGAATGAGCGAGAATTAGGCAAGAATTCAATCAGCTGCAAGATATCTCAGGTTCTTTCTTCACTTTCAAATGAAATGCAACAAAGAGCTAAGCGGATGACCAGCTTTATCACAATGAAATTTCTAAACAGTTAATTGGAGATTTCTCATATTCAGGGGTTATGAAGCGAAGGAGAGTTTCGGACTTGAAAGGACGCTTTTACCCCTTATTTTGACGGACAAATTGACAGAGTTGGATGGCATACTACACCAGAATACATCTATTACGGCGCACAAAGCACATCGTGAATTATCAATCACGATGCGAAACAGGCAAGCAGTAAAAGCCTGCGTCGTAAATAGTGTTCCTCAATCACGACGTGCATGAATGTCGCAATAAAAACTTAAGACGACGTTACTTGTGAGCCGTAATTCAGTTGAAGCAATTACGACACGCTCTGCGTGTCTTAAAAGAGTAATTACGGTGTGCTTCACGTGCCTTCTTAAATGACTAATTACGGCATACAATTCACGCCGTAAAAGAGTAATTAATTCCCATTTAAGACGTTCATTGCACGCCGTGTTTAACTTTAAATTTTTTTATAAAAAAAATTATTAATTCCCTGCCTGCTCCTGTTTCATATTTCCCAATCATAATCAATTCCAACCAAAACAAAAAGTAGTATTGCAACCAAACTTGAAAGAAAGAACCATTTCATTGAAAACTATACCAATCATAGTCAATTCCAAATCCAAACTCTATAGAGTATTAAAAAAACACATAATAGTGCTGCCAAATCTACAATTAACTTGTACACAGCCTCCAACTCATTCACTCATAATAGTGCTGACAAACCTACAACGTAACCTATGCAAAAACCTCATGATAGCACTGGCAGTAGACATCATCTAACAAGAATCAAACTCACACTTGATCTGCGGCAATGGACACCTGCATTTTGTTTGAAAACTCATTTTAGCAACTTAACCATTGTAATTTGCCAAAGGAAAAACCTCATAATAGAAGGACAAAACTAAGCCTGAATGTTATGATTGAAGTGTGCATTATTAAGGAAAGAATTTGCTGAAGGAAAGAATAAAAACAAAAACAAAATAAGAATATTAGAAGACATATATTATGATTGAAGTATGCATTATTAAGGAAAATGGTGGAAAAATATTTGTCTCATGTATATCCAGAAAATTATGTGTATGCCTTTTCATCAACACAGCAAAAATGGACAGAGGCAGAACTTGTTGTTCTTCACTTTGTTCTTTACACAAAAACAATCACATTTCACTAGAACAATTTATATCATGAAAGACAGATAACGCATCAAACATACAAGAACCAGATAAATAACTGATAGATTTTACCTCTAATGTTTCCTCTGCTGCCATATCATCCAAAAGAAGTATGTCATTTGCGACTCTAGAATGAATACAACCTGACCAAGATATGTTTAGCCTTATAGCCATAACTCACTAGAAAGGGAAAGGCACTAAATCCCTTAACAACGATAACAACAAATAATATACGAAAGAAAAATGTGCCACATGAAAGTTACCTGATCTATACTAAATTATGCAGATTGAAATTGTTGCATTTGATGGGTATTCTGGAACCCGTCAGAGCCATCTAGAGCCTGATAAACAAAAAAATTGCTGAAGTTAAACATGAAACTACAAGTTCCTAATATAAAGTACATAACTTTTTGATCCTTATATGAATTGGAACATTTCAACAAGATTTTACCTCTCTCAAACTATGAATAACAAGTTGAATTTGTCTCTGAAGTGTTTCCTCTGCCATTAGATGAACATTTCAGCAACAAGTTGAACATCTATCAAACTATGAATAACAAGTTGAATTTGTCTCTGAACATTTCAGCAACATAAAAGCTTACAATCAAAGAACACATATGAGATATAAAATCTCTTAGCTGAAATGGTTTTCAGCAGCTTCGCATATCTTATCAACTTTAGCCTCAGATAAACCTTTGATTCCATTCAAGTTCTGCCATACAGAAATCAGAGTAAGGAATCGGACCTTAACATGCTCAGTATAAGAAATTAGAGTTTAAATTCGTTTTACCTTCTTCATATGCATCATCAAGTGATTGCAGTTGTAGATCCTAGCGTCTTCAAACTTCTTAATATCTCCGGCATTGATTCCCTGAGCAATCATTGCACAAAACCCACGCGTTACTACTAGAAATTCGATTCCTCAGTTTTGAAGCAAAATTCGCTCAAAACTTACGTCTACAGAATCGGGGAAAACTAGTTTGATCTCACCGAGAAATCTAACTGAATTACTTAAACGAAGAGATACTCATATATTTCTGAAGTTTTTTTTATTAAGAAAAACAGAGCAAATCAAACAGAATTTTAAAAATACGAAAAGAAATTTGAAATCCGATTCAGCGCTGAACACTGAATCCAAAACGTACAGAGATCGAGCTTGAAACAATGAATATTTAAATAAATCGAGAAAAATAGTTAACTATATCAATTTTTTTGAATTTAAACGAAAATAATGTGCCGTATAAATCAAGAATTAAAGACAATGAGGCCTCTAACCACAAGAATGCAGTAGGGAACATGATTCTAAACTATAAGAAGACTCATAATCAAGCATTGGGGGTTAGGGCTTTAGAGAATCGCACCTTGGGACTGTCACTGAGCATTCAACTTTGAAGTAATAGGGCTCGAGCAATAGTCTTCTAGCGAACAAGGAGCTGGAGCTCTTGAATGGTCTAGTGAGAGAAAATCCTAAAATTGTGAGAGAGGGAGAGGGAGAGGGAGAGCGAGAGCGAGAGGGAGAGAGACGTAATGAGAATGTTCTGGTATGAAGGAAAACTAAAATGAGGGAAATTAAAAAAAAAGGGTCATATTTTTAGAGGGTTTTCAAATATAATTAGGGGGTTTCGTTAAAAAGCAAAAATAAAAAACAAAAACAAAAACAATCAGGGCGTACTTAGTTGCACGCCGTAATAGATAAAAAAAAAAATTTAGACTTCACGGCATATATCTAAACATGCCGTTAAAAGATATTAAAATTACCTTTTTAAGGCGTGCTTTCACATGCCGTAAATATCAGTTATTAACAGCACGCTTTATTACCTTTTTAAGGCGTGCTTTGATATGTCGTAAATATCAGATATTAACGACACGCACAAAAAGCGTGTCGTAAATCTCAAGTCGTAAAAGCTCCAATTTGGTGTAGTGGCAGGATCTAATTGGAACTCTTTGTCCAGTTAAAGGATGTAATTGCCTAAAAAAAAAAGTTCACGGACCTAATTGCAACTGGGGGCAAAGTTCATGGACGTCTATAGTAGATGTGAAACTTACACATTATAGCTTGTATATGATTTATATTGAGCCACCTACAATTGTTCGGGCTTATAAATCCATATAATGAACCAACAACTAACTAATTTCTAGTTAGCTCCTAAAACCTTCTAATAGAACAACAAACTCCTAACTAATCTGCAAGCACATCAGCAACTGATAACTAATTGCCACATCAGCAGATTCCTAACAAAAGTACTATAGAGTTGGTAAAGTCTCACATGTTTTGCTAACCTAAATTTATAATGACATTTAAATATGGAATTTAAATTTTATTTTCTTAGAGAAATCAAATATACAATTGAGTGGTGGTGGCCGTCGTCGTGGTAACAGGAGTGATGCATGTAGTAGCTGTGGAGCACAAAACCACATTTCCATCCGCCAGAGATGCAGAATAGGGATGTAAATGTGGTTTACTTGTACACTGTGGATGCTCTATTATTAATATACTTGAAGTTAAAAATGAATTAGACAAAAATATAACTTTGTAATCAAAATGAACTCTTCTAAGTGTTGGAAAACACTACTACGTTTTACCCTTTGCGCGACAAACAGTTGTTCATCGCACAAGAAATCCTTGCGTGACGAAAAAACGCATGCGTAGCACAAACTATTGCTAAACTTGAGCGACGACACATATCGTCGAGCAAGATTGCTTAGCGCGACAGTACTAGTTATCGTCGCGTAAAGTTAGCAGGAAAAACGCAGGGTTATTTTATTTGGTGCCAAAAACTTGCATGACGAAACATATCATCGCGAAAGAAAGCTTCGCGCGACAATTTTGCAAGGAAAACGAGGGGTGATATTATTTGGCACCAAACACTTGCGCGAAGATATATATCGTCGCAAAAGAAAACATAGCACGACAAAGCACTTTATCGTCGCGCACGAAAATGCGGGGATATTTTATCTGGGGACAAAAACTTGCGCGACGAGAAAGGAGTATTTGCGTGACGACAATTTGTTGCGCGACGAAAGTTGTTTCGTCATGTAAAGTAGGATGTGGGCACGTACTAGCGCGACGAAACGTGTAATTTACGTGACGACTATTAATTGCGCGACGAAGGTTTTCTTGTCGCGTAAAGTAGGATGTTGGCACGTACCAGCGCGACGAATGCGAACTTTTTGAGCGACGCATCCCCCTTTCGTAGCGCAAAATTCTTCTTAAAATATATAATCTGTATTCAGCTATTGCAGAGGCAATCTGCAAACAAATTGACTCTGCCTCTGCCTCTTCCTCTCTTTCTGCTAGGAATTCGTTACGTTCATTGGGTAAGTATTTTTTGTCGTTAGTTTAAAAGTATTAATGTAAATTCATACTAGCGCCATTAATGTCGTTGTCTATAGGGATATTATTTGTGATTAGCAGTTGGTGGAGAACGATTGAGAAGGTATTTTCTTCATTTTATATTTTAAAAATATAAAATTAATTACATTATGTTAAACTTTGTTTGTTATGTGTATATTGTTTTGTGAAATTATATTTATATTATGTTGTTAAATTGTGCGTGACGTAGCACAATGTGTTGTGATGTACGAAGTTAATTGAAATTAACTTCGTACTTTTTTTATTTTTTTTATTTTTAGTAAAACTTAGTTTCTCGTTCGAGATTAGTTGGATTTCGTGCATGGTTGCGTAAAGCATGACTGCGGTTCAATTAATTCTTGAATTGTCCCATTATTTGGACAGTTTGGGAATGCATAGTCATGTCACGTAATTTACGGCTACACGATTAGGTTTCGGTTGTGGAGATTTCAGTGTCATCTCTGTACGTTCTTCGAGTGGTACATATGTATTTTATACATATGGTACACCTTAAGAACTATATCGAGATGCTGCTGAAATTCATCCACGTCGAAATCTAATATCATGTAGTTGTGAATTACACGACATAACTGTGCATTCCCGAATGGGATAGGGCCCTTACCGGAGGCATAAAGTGACATTATGATTTTGTAAGAAGTTGTTGTGATTGTTGTGTTGTGATTGTGGTTCTAGGAATTATGAGCAGGAGGTGGATACATAACCCGAATAGATGCGCAGACGAATACTTGGATGGAATCGAGGATTTTATTGACTTTGCACGTACACACAACCCGAGTGCAACTAGAATCCGGTGTCCTTGTAGGAGCTGTAACAACACGTTGTGGGAGACAATTGAAAATGTTCGATTTCATTTAGTAAGGAATGGAATGATTGAGACATATAGCACATGGAACAATCACGGGGAACAATTAGACATTGCTTCGTCTTTCAAGGGCCACAAGAGTGGACAATGTTGAACCTATTGTGGATCCTAATGAACAAGCCATAAATATTATAGATATTTATAAAAATACCCAATCCTAGACATGTATTTATAAAAATACCCAAGCACTATTTAAACATAGAAACATACCCAAAATGGGTTTTGGGTATGTGTGTAATGATGGGTTTTGGGTATGTTTATAAATGGGTTTTGAGTGTGTGTAATGATGAGTTTTGGGTATGTTTATAAAGTGTTTTGGGTGTTGGGTATTTTTATAATTTCAGCCCCCATTTTGGGTATTTTAGTGAAACTCCCTATTATAAATGATGTTTTTCCATTTATATCGACCAACATCAATTAGGAAGGGGAAGATGATGTGCCTACACCAATGGACAGTGCAGAGTTCGAACAATATGAAAAACTGTTACAAATGCCAACCAAGAGTTATACCTGGGGTGCAAGAGCTTTTCCGTTCTCATGGCCATTGTGGAGCTAATGCACGGAAAAATAAAGTATCGTATGTCGAATTTGTGTTTCGATTACTTTTTGGGGGTTTTCAAGAGAATGCTTCCGATGGACAATTATTTGCCAAAAGACCATAGACACGCGCAAAAGGTGTTGAATGGTCTTGAATTGGGTTATGAAAAAATTCACGCTTGCAAAAACAATTGCAAGTTATTCTACAAAGAGTATGAAATATTGGAGACATGTCATATATGCAATGAGTCGAAGTTCAAAATGACATCTCAGAATAGAATGACTAAGATCCCACAAAAAAAGTCATGCGTTATCTGCTCTTGAAACTTAGGTTGCAGCGATTGTATATGTTGACGCATACTGCCACAGACATGAGATGGCATAAGGAAAAATGGGTAGACGACGATGTGATGCGGCATCTTGCAGATGGGGTGGCATGGAAAGAGTTCGATCGAACATTCCTCGAGTTTGCTGCTGATCCCCGAAATGTTAGATTGGGACTTGCCACTGACGGATTCAATCCATACAGGGTTCTAAACCAACACCACAGCACTTGGCCGATTTTCGTATTCCCATATAATTTTCCGCCTTGGAAATGCATGAAAAAAGAATACATGATGATGATTGTTTCAATAATTGAGGATTCTGGCAGGTCAATTGATGTTTACTTAAGGCTGTTGGTTGATGAGCTTAAGCATTTATGGACAAACGGTGTGTGCACGTACAATAAATCCACTGGGAAGATGTTTACTTTGCGGGCAGTAGTTATGTGGACTGTGAATGATTTTTCAGCATACGCAATGGTTTCTAGGTGGAGCACAAAGGGTTATATGGCATGTCCTGTATGCAAGGAAGATGTAACTTCTGGTTGGTCATCTTAATATTTATTTGGCGCCAAATTCTTGCGCGACAAACTCATTCTCGTAGTGTTAAGTTGCAATTTTGTGTGACGACTTTATATATTGTTGCGTCAATATATGTATATTATAATATAATATAATATATATACAGAAATTCTCTTATGCGGACATCCGGACGTTATTATCGTGCGGACGCCGTGTATTTTGTACTATCCCTCTCTGTTTTCTTCCCTGTTTACAATAGGATCCGCACAATAATAACGTGCGGACATCCTGATAAGAGAATAACTATATATATATACATGGGTATAATACATATATATATATATAGATAATATATATGGGTATGTTATAATAATAATAATAATAATAATATACATGTATATACGTGTATATATGTATATTATAATATATACATATAGTATAAATATATAATGTATATGTGTATATGTATGTA